ATGAACCTTTTGATGAACTTACAGGGATGGTTCATGAACAAAGTTCATGAAGCATTCAAGAACTGTTCATGCCAGTTCATGAATTATTCATGATCATTTTGTAGGGGCAGGATTGTCTGTGAACAGGAGTGACCTCATTTCTCAAATCACTACAACTGTTAGTGACCAGCAATTGACCTCATTTCTCAGTCATTACAACTGTCTGTGACAAGCAATTGACCTCATTTCTCAGTCATTACAACTGTCTGTGAAAAGCAATTGATCTCATTTTTCAGTCATTACAACTGTCTGTGAAAAGCAATTGAAAAGCAGCTTATGTTTGGCCCCACTACCTATTTAAATATCATAGGACCACTTTTTTTCTCACAAAAAGCATTTGATCAAATCTTAACTATCGATACATACAATAAAACCTCACACTATCATGATGAACAGAGTGCCTTGTGCTTTATGCTATATTTAAATACTATGCAATAATCATTCGAAAAATTTTTGATGATCATTAATCTGAAATTAAAAACCTGAATGCAACAATGTGAGACAAAATAATCCAGAGAATATAAAAAGTTAAGAAAACTGAATGTGCCAATTAAGTAAGAAGTATCTTAAAACAATGAAGTAAAAAATTAATAATTGCAACAAGATTAAATGATTATTTTACCTAAGTCCCTTAGTACTTGCTTTGTTGAACACCTGACTTAATCCAGTCCTGAGATTTAAGCCTCTCTTCAACAGTAAAAATTTTACCTTTACAAGTCCTCTTATTTATTTCTAACACTAACAGACATCACTACTTTGACACCTAGTAGAGTCAATAACTACTAACACTAACAGACATCACTACTTTGACACCTAGTAGTGTCAATAACTACTAACACTAACAGACATCACTACTTTGACACCTAGTAGAGTCAATAACTACTAACACTAACAGACATCACTACTTTGATGCCTAGTAGAGTCAATAACTACTAACACTAACAGACATCACTACTTTGACACCTAGTAGAGTCAATAACTACTAACACTAACAGACATCACTACTTTGATGCCTAGTAGAGTCAATAACTACTAACACTAACAGACATCACTACTTTGACACCTAGTAGAGTCAATAACTACTAACACTAACAGACATCACTACTTTGATGCCTGGTAGAGTCAAAAACTACTAACACTAACAGACATCACTACTTTGATGCCTGGTAGAGTCAATAACTACTAACACTAACAGACATCACTACTTTGACACCTAGTAGAGTCAATAACTACTAACACTAACAGACATCACTACTTTGATGCCTAGTAGAGTCAATAACTACTAACACTAACAGACATCACTACTTTGACACCTAGTAGAGTCAATAACTACTAACACTAACAGACATCACTACTTTGATGCCTAGTAGAGTCAATAACTACTAACACTAACAGACATCACTACTTTGACACCTAGTAGAGTCAATAACTACTAACACTAACAGACATCACTACTTTGATGCCTGGTAGAGTCAATAACTACTAACACTAACAGACATCACTACTTTGATGCCTGGTAGAGTCAATAACTACTAACACTAACAGATATCACTACTTTGATGCCTAATAGAGTCAATAACTACTAACACTAACAGACATCACTACTTTGACACCTGGTAGAGTCAATAACTACTAACACTAACAGACATCATTACTTTGATGCCTGGTAGAGTCAGTAACTACTAACACTAACAGACATCACTGCTTTGATGCCTGGTAGAGTGAATAACTACTAACACTAACAAACATAACTATTTTGACACCTGGTAGAGTCAATAACTACTAACACTAACAGACATCATTACTTTGATGCCTGGTAGAGTCAATAACTACTAACACTAACAGACATCACTACTTTGATGCCTGGTAGAGTCAATAACTACTAACATTAACAGACATCATTACTTTGACACCTGGTAGAGTCAATAAATACTAACACTAACAGACATCACTACTTTGACACCTGGTAGAGTCAATAACTACTAACACTAACAGACATCACTACTTTGATTGCCTAGTAGAGTCAATAACTACTAACACTAACAGACATCACTACTTGGATGCCTAGTAGTGTCAATAAATACTAACACTAACAGACATCACTACTTGGATGTTTAGTAGTTTCAATAACTACTAACACTAACAGACATCATTACTTTGACACCTAGTAGAGTCAATAAATACTAACACTAACAGACATCACTACTTTGATTGCCTGGTAGAGTCAATAACTACTAACACTAACAGACATCACTACTTTGATGCCTGGTAGAGTCAATAACTACTAACACTAACAGACATCACTACTTTGTCACCTGGTAGAGTCAATAACTACTAACACTAACAGACATCACTACTTTGATTGCCTGGTAGAGTCAATAACTACTAACACTAACAGACATCACTACTTTGATGCCTGGTAGAGTCAATAACTACTAACACTAACAGACATCACTACTTTGTCACCTGGTAGAGTCAATAACTACTAACACTAACAGACATCACTACTTTGATTGCCTGGTAGAGTCAATAACTACTAACACTAACAGACATCACTACTTTGATGCCTGGTAGAGTCAATAACTACTAACACTAACAGACATCACTACTTTAATGCCTAATAGAGTCAATAAATACTAACACTAACAGACATCTCTACTTTGAGCCTTGTAGAGTCAATAACTGCATCATGAATAACTGTTAATAAACAACACAGTGGTTTTTATTGGGAATGGATGATATAATTCACTGGTTAGTTGATTCCTTTTGACAACATGGCCAAGGCAAATGTGCATGATTAGAAATTACTCAATCAGGAAAATAAATGTTACTTAGAAATTCATTTGATAATCTTTTTCAGCCACATCATATTATTTAGTTTGTATGACAGCAGATTGAGCAGGTATCTGCTTCCTTTTCTTTACCATGGATTGTGCAACTATTAGACACAGGAGCTTGTAAAATTATTGTACATGTGAGACACAGAAGACAAACTAACAAATAATTATAGCTTTATTATTCATGATTTTATAATAGTTAGAGTAACAACAATCAGCTATTTTATAAAGAGCTGATGGATTTCAAGCAAGATCACAGTGCAGGGGCTGAATACTGAAATAATTAAAATGCACATTCAACAAAAAGAAACTTTTTTATATTGTTATTCATCTAAAGAAAGGTGATACATTTTTTTCAAGAATGCAGTTCATCTTGTAAAATTGTTATCCAACTATTGTTTGCTTTGGCACTAAAACTTGAGAAATTGCTGTAAAGTTACTCTATTATATGTATTGCAATGAAGTGTACCATAGGGGGATCTCTCCTGTGTGTAATTGTATATATATATATATATATATATATATATATATATATATATATATATATATATATATATATATATATATATATATATATATATATATATATATATATATATATATGATTTTGTTGACAAGTATTTAAAGTGAATGTTGTTTTCTTACACATCACAAATCAAATATTTTATTTCAGGCTGAGTACAGTCTAAATATTGATGCTTTTATTAAGTTTAGAAACTAAGGCTTTATGCTGCATGAAAATTTTTAAGCCGTCAATAAATGCCTGAGATTATAAAGCAGTAAACTGACATAATGTCTGAGAATAAAAAAACAACAGTATATTAAACAGTTATTCCTCAACAACATAAGATATTTTGCTTTATCATGCACCTTGATAGAATCATGAACATTTATATTCATATTTATGATGTGCATATCGTTAAAGACAACTTGCAATGGCTTTGATGTTTACGAAGATTTATTCAATTCATTTTGACAGAAAATAAAAAGATTTTGTGCCCAAATAAAACATTCATTTGAAAAGAAGAAACATTTTTATCATGTTTATGGTAAGAAAGAAAAGGGCAGAGAAGATGTTGGTCTATTACAGCAATAGAACACAGTAAAATAGCATTCTTAGATCTCTTACCGCAATAGAACACAGTAAAATAGCATTGTTACATGTCATACAGCAGGATATCACACTTAAACAGCATTGTTACATGTCATACAGCAGGAGATCACACTTGAACAACATTGTTACATGTCATACAGCAGGAGATCACACTTGAACAACATTGTTACATGTCATACAGCAGGAGATCACACTTGAACAGCATTGTTACATGTCATACAGCAGGAGATCACACTTGAACAGCATTGTTACATGTCATACAGCAGGAGATCACACTTGAACAACATTGTTACATGTCATACAGCAGGAGATCACACTTGAACAACATTGTTACATGTCATACAGCAGGAGATCACACTTGAACAACATTGTTACATGTCATACAGCAGGAGATCACACTTGAACAACATTGTTACATGTCATACAGCAGGAGATCACACTTGAACAGCATTGTTACATGTCATACAGCAGGAGATCACACTTGAACAACATTGTTACATGTCATACAGCAGGAGATCACACTTGAACAACATTGTTACATGTCTTGCAGAAGAAGAATACAGTTCAATAGCATTGTTACATGTCATACAGCAGTAGAAAGCATAGATAGCACTGACATATTTTACAATTGTAGAAGATACATAAATGAAACTGTGACATGTCTTACAACTGTAGAACACTTATCAATAGCAGTGACATATCATACATGTCAGCGCTTATGACCACAAAAAATATTTTTTAAATAAGTATCCATGGCAGTGGGATAGGTGACATGTGATTTGGATTTTTTAATGCAGTTTTAACAATTTTTCAGTCATATTGCTACAATGTCTGCATTGTGGCAGATTATAGTGATGTCTAGCACTGGGGCATTATGCCACAGACATGTAGTATGATGTCCCACCCAGTAGCATTATCCTGACACCAGGCCAACCAGTCCTAACACTAACCTCTTAATTCTGAACACTAAGTGAGGCAGATGTTAATACCATTTTTATAAGTCTTTGGTATGACTCTACTGGGGATTGAACCTACAACCTCCCGCATATGAGGCAGACTCTCTAGCCACTAGGCCAAAGGAGCAGTCCACATCCCTTGCAGAGTCTCTAAATGGAAAACATAATCTACAATGAAAGCATCCCTCACAGAATGGTCTAACTTTAAATCACATTTTTAAAGAGCCTAATATATGAATCTGGCAGCTTTGTTTTTGAACAGAAGTGCAAAACAACAACAACAACAGTACTTTGTTTTATACACCTGCATGGCTGCAGGGAAAAAATATTTATATCATTTTAGGTATTCACATAATAACAATCAGCAATGACAGTGACAAAAGTGTCTGCTAATACCTGTATAGGAAGAGCTATCTTTGAAGAAAACAAGAAAGGAATGCTATAGGATAAAGATATAAATTGAACGTAAATAGACACCAGTAGAATCTTAGTATCATTACAAATCTGATTTTAGTTGTAACCATTTATTACTCTTAAAAACTGGTATAAATACAGTGGAAGAATAAAAATTGTGCAAAAATCAGTGTTCTCTCAAGACAGGTGGTCTTATGAAAGGTCATATCATTAAATATAATCAATAAATCTGAAGAGTACTCAGAATCTGGTCTAGACAGGTGGTGTCTCAAACAGTGGTCTTTTAAAATAGGTTAATACTGTAAAAAAAATGTATTTAATTTTTAATTAGGTTAGTTTATCATGTTGTTGTAAGTGAGTTCCATGTTTTGATGCATTCCATTGTTGCCGTGAGCACAGTCATTATATGTCTCACTTGTTGAATAAAGTACCTTTGTTGCTAACCATAGTGTAAAGAACACTAATGAAATTTTTTTTTGACAAATGATTGTCAAGTCTTACCTTCTAGAAGCCCAGTATTATCCTTTTATCTGTTGAAGTTACTGCAGTCTGTGAATGAACTCTTCACTTGTACTGGCTATTGACTGTACCTTGACCACCCCCATTCCCCCAAATTAAAGGGAAGGGAAGTAACATAAACAAACTGATTTTGGGTTTTGACCATTTCAAGTTTGGAGGGGGAGGATGGGATTTTCTTTTGAACTAAGATATATCTTTTTATTTTACCTTCAGATCTTTATTTGTACAAATAAGGTTCTTTGTGAACAAATCAGAGTAATAACATCTTTTCAACCTTTTTAAGTTTGGAAATTTTATTTTAAAAAATAGGCTTATAGCTACCTTCCCTTGAAATGGTTGATCCTTTAAAAAGACTAGCTAAACTGTGATAGTTCAGAAATGTTGGCCAGAGCCTAATTTAAGTTTGAATGAATCCCAGAGGCTTATGGGAAAAGACTGGGAATACCATACTAATCATGATAAATTTCCAACAAATACATGTGCTGAAATACATCTAAATAGTCTTCTTGTAACTTTGAATTAATCTGATTAAAATATTAATGATATTTTTTCCTGATTTAAAGGCAGATTTTCACTCTCATGACCTTGGGAAGGAAAATTCTCATTGACACCATACTGTCATTCTACTTCCACATGGTTAATAGCAGTTGTGAGTGAAACTTGAGATTACCACTTGAGAATGTTAGAGATGGGTGAGTAATTGCCTCCTAAAAAGGGGTGCTGAGGCCACTTTCTAACACAGCATTAAGAAATAAAACTGGATTGCTTCATTCACTGTTAAATTAAAACAGACCAGCTGTAAAAAAAAGTTATGTATGTACTTTGAATAGGAGATGCAATGATGTAGGAATTGTATTCAAGTTCTTAAAGCAATAAAAGACAGGTATAAATTTTTGTTTTCTAAAATAAAGAATATCTCTTTGAATTCTAGAGATTTCTGGGGGGAAAAATTGTAAGAACTCCTCTGTTATTTGTATTCTACTATATCAATCTGAGATATATCCTGGTTTAAAACTACAACATGAATAACACTGGAAATGTGACTGGAGACAGCTGGAGTATATACGGTATATGTAACAAAAATCCTTGACCTTGTAGATTCATTTGTAGTTCTTAGATTTGTTTGACAACTGAATGCATGCCTGGCGCAAATTTAAATGAGTGATGAACACTAGTAGAATGCAAGCAAGTCAAGTACATGTATGCATCAACATAAATTTAACACTTAAAATGGATTTTAATTAAAAATGTATCTGAACATAACCATGACAAATATCAAACTGTGACAACAAAACAATGAAGCATATGTCAATATATAACTGCAAAGTTTCTAAGGAACACATCTAAAGAATGATTGATTAGTCTATAGCTGCACACATGGAAATTTTCATATACCTATATAAATTTAATTGACACCATAATAAGGTATTTTAACAAATGCATCAGAGCACGATGACAAAACATGCATATGGTGGCAATATATCAATAATGTCTGCCAAGGTTGGGGGTGGGTGAAATTCACATTAAAAGTAGTTACACATACAAGAATTATCATCCCCACAAGTACAATCCTTTAATGTTAAAAAGAGGGATATAACTCTGAAGAAATAAAAAAATTTGCACAATCTGAAAAAACATAACTTTCACGATACAATGATATGTACACATTATCCTCCATGTCAATAATATTAACCAATTTTCAAGATCAGTCTAATGTTATGTGTCATCTGCTACATTGATACAAACAAGCCAAACAAATTTTGTTAAATGGATGAAAGTGGACAGAGGAATGAATAAGACTGAAACTAAACCACAACATTTATCTTTAAAAATCAATTTTCATTTTACAGTATTTATTTTTTTTATTCCACATTATTCTTTTTAGCCAATCTGCCCTTTAAAATTGAAGGATTTCTGAATAGGAAATTTTCTGAATAGAAATGTTTGTAGATTATAATAATATTATCAAATTAATATTTGACACATAAGTAATATACATTGTTTTTAAGGAGCTGGTATTTTTTAAATGTCTGTTAGATATCAGCTCCAGATATAGATTACAGGACTTGGCATAATCAGAAATATGGATCAATTTATTATATGATCTTGTATTTAATATGTATTTCTATTCTTCATTTTACTGGATAATGAATGATCAGTTCACTTGAAAAATCATTCCTCGTGATCATTTAAATTGACTATTTTAAATACTGTACTATTCTGTGGTGTAGCAGTTTGTGGTGATGTCTAGCACTGGGGCATCATGCCAAAACCATGAAGCATGATGTCCCACCCAGTCACATTATCCTGACACCAGGCCAACCACTAGCTTCTTTATGCAGAGCACCAAGCAAGGCAGCTGTTAGTACCATTTTTGTAAGTCTTTGGTATGACTCATCCGGGGATCAAACCCATGACCTCCCGCATATGAGGTGGATGCTCTAACCACTAAGCCACACAGTTGTACTATTTTGTACCTTCTAATTTATCTTAAAGAAAATTTTGCATTCTTGCTAAGTTTTGCAAACATTTTTGTGCATACAAATCAGCAGAAGAAAATAATTCACTGGTTAATATTAATTAGTTTGATTATACTCAATTATAAGTCAATTCTGGCTGCAAACAACATTGACCCAGATCTGCTGGCACACAATGCACTGGCTGATCAGGATCTATATTGTTTGTTCTGCTTAATACTCCTATCAAATTGCATAGACCAATATCAGCCAGCTCATTATTTGGCAGCAGGTCTGTGTCTATCCAATTTGCTAATGGACTCAACTTACAAATGAATACAGTATATATATATATATATATATATATATATATATATATATATATATATATATATATATATATATATATATATATATATATATATATATATATATATATATGGTACAGTTCAAAATATTGTAATATGCTAAAGGACAAACAATATTGTAATGGCTTGATGTGCTTCTATATTGATACAGTTTTCACCATAAGAAATAATGGACAGCGACCTGAATAATAAAAGATTTGTTAACCAGATCTTATTCAGAAAAGTTTGTTTCTCTGTGATTGCCAAGATTAAAGAAAAGATGGTACCCATAAAATCAAAGCCAACTCAGTTTTAAATTTCAGTCATGTTTTGCTATTATATCTTAACCGTAAACATACTGCAACATAGAATCTGTCAGGAGTATTGATTAGGGTCACGTGAGGTTAGAATTATACAGTATAAACCAGCTAAATCTGCACACAAGAAATATAGTTTATATTTATACATAAATGTGTAGTGGTATTTATCTAGTGTGAGACAAACTTTATATTTAAGGGGACAGTTTCATTCTTTGAACTTTGACTTTGTATTTCGTACTCCAAGCAAAAGAAAGAGGAAGGAGGAATACATAAAGAACCTAATGAGTTAAAGAGGAAATGTAAACGTAAACATAAATGTAAACGTGATGTAAAAACAATAAGTGTCAGAAGAGGACTTGAAGCACATGGTTAGAAAGGGAAACAAGTCATGCGAAGACAAGTGTCAGGTGATACTGTCAAAGCATAAGATTGGACTCAAAATCAGCACTCGAATACATGATGATAGTTATACGCTGTAATTAAATTCTGTCATTGACCATCTGTCAAATAGAAAGTGAATTTTGGCTATGCTTTAATTGAATATACGTAATTCAGTAAATTGGTTATATGGGAATTGATTTGTCTTTGATGCTATGTTTTTTGATTAATATTTTATATTTGTATTCATTGAAAGGGGGCTCGTTTTTAATTTCTTTCACTCTACTTTGCTCAGCTATCTGTAACATTCCATCTATCCATTCACATTGGGCAAATTACATTGTGGAAGATCATTTCCGAGTTAATGATGCCAATTAGAAAAGGAGGCGGCTTTTACTGGTTTAAATCTCTTCCCCATATCACATTCATATATCCCAGAATCTCCTGCATGACACCTGAATCCAATGCTAGAGATGAGCCTATAGTGAAAAAACAAAACACAAAGGTTTATATTTGCATAAAATAGTGTGATGATATTGACTGGCCAATATGCCTATCTTTTGATGATGACCATAAAATGTACAATGCTTCAAAAGCAATTCACTAAAAACTGCATGACTACTTCCATTAACAAAATTTTTTTGTATACTGCATCATCTGTCATGTCAGAAAGGGCAGTAACTCCTACAGAAATAAAGGGAACAAAACTTTGTCAGTATGTGCATCTTTAGATCATGACCCATTTGGAACCACCTCTGCTATTTCTGCCAGACAAAATTTTGCCTTGGATGTATATTGGTGCAGTAATTTACAGAAAACTCGTACATTTGGCTAACTGGAAAATTCTCTGCACAAGAAAAAAAGAAAAAAAAGAAACCCAATCTACTTCAAACCATCTTGGCTATTTCTATGATGGGATTGACTGTTAGGCTGACAGAGAGGTTTACAAATGAAAAAGGAAATAGTTTGATCATTTGTAACCTTTTGGTCAATCCTTCTTTCCTAAATAGCCAAACTGACTTGAATGCCAGCAAATGACATTCATTTGATGTATGATCCATATGATTGAGGTCAAAGTTGCCAAAGATAATGACTATAATACATATCAATCTTCACAGCAAAGAAAAAGCACCATTCACAAGAATTTGTTGTATGCTGAATTTGGTGCAGGTCAGAAAGGGCAATAACTCCAACAGATTTTGAGACCACAGTGATTTGATCATGTGAATCTTCAGACAATGGCTATCATATGTAAAAATTTCATGGCAATCCAAAGAAAACTCTAAGGCTAGTTGTATTCACAATATTCTGTTGTACATTAAATCAAGTTAATAATAAAAAAGCAAAAAGTCTCTAACATAAATCTCAAGAGTACTGTAATTGTATATTCAGATGATGACTGTAAAAAGTGTTTTAAGAAGTTTGAGTGACTTAAGAAAATAAATGCAAGGATTCAGTCATTATACTTTATTCAGCTGCAGAAGACAAAAAGAACAATAATTCTAACTCAAGTTATGGGAGGATATTAATCTACTTAAATATTCATTCATAAATAATTACATAATCACATATGGTGCTCTATTAAAAATTGTCAACTAGCTATACTCATAAGAAGTTGTCATGTACTACATCAAGCAGGTATCCAAAATGGGCAATACCTCTAACATAAATTGCATAACCACAATGATTTGTCAGTAACATGTCTTCAGATGATCATGATTATATTTATCAAGTTACATGTCACTCTATTAAAATGCAGGATATGATCATATTTATCAAGTTACATGTCACTCTATTAAAATGCAGGATATGATCATATTTATCAAGTTACATGTCACTGTATTAAAATGCAAGATATGATTATATTTATCAAGTTACATTTCACTCTATTAAAATGCAGGATATGATCATATTTATCAAGTTACATGTCACTCTATTAAAATGCAGGATATGATTATATTTATCAAGTTACATGTCACTCTATTAAAATGCTGGATATGATTATATTTATCAAGTTACATGTCACTCTATTAAAATGCAGGATATGATCATATTTATCAAGTTACATGTCACTCTATTAAAATGCAGGATTAACTAAACTAAATGAGACTGTGTTATATGCTGCATGAAGCAACAAGACAAAAAGGACAATAACTCTGACAAAACTTCATGACATTTACTGTGACAAATTGTCGGTGTGCAAAACACACCAACCTCTTTCACTACGGTTTGTTGCTAGGGAATGACCTCCGTGGTGTAATTCACCCAGTGTGGATAGATAGAAAGAAGAATGCAGATCACTGAACAAGTATATTGAAGAAATAAACACGATGAGCCCCCTTTCAATGAACAAATATAAAATTTAATCAGTTTATCAACAGAATTTAAAATGAAAAGAAATCAATGACTTGGTTACAAACGAAGGAAAATGGTACTAACATGTACTCAAATAAAAAGACAATACAAATTTCTTTAAATGTAAAATTACTTTCAACGTTAATATACTATCTTCATTGGCAATGAGATGTGACCTTTGAGTGCAACGATGAGAGACTTCATCATCTATTTTATTCGGACATCAAGACTTCCGTTCGTCCCTGCTCTGCCGATCTTTGTCTAGCTGTTTGGTCTTGGACTCTTGTCAGTCGAACGCTGATTTAGCAATCATCGCTGGACTTAGATTTCGGCTTAGAATTTGCTCTGGTCCTGTGATTGGTTCAGGGATTTCTCAGGTGAATCCAAGAAAGCTGTTTCCTTCAATAAATAAAAATGTCTCGCAATATACAATAGGTGACATTCCCAAGTATATCTATATTTTTACATTAATTCGGCTCAGAAACAAATGGCATAAATTCTGCCACAGTAACTCTCTGTTTACCTAGTTGGTCAATGCTTGTCCTGACCTTAATTCGGTCATGCTAGGGATGGTCAATTAAATTCAACTCAGCCGTATGAACCCGTATGTACCCCCCCCCTTGACTTCTTACTCTACCAATCTAGCAGTGTTAAGTTACATATGGCTTAGACCCTCAGATCTAACTAGTATAAAATAGTGTACTCGACCAATTAAATATCACAAACTAGCATATAGATATAAACTTAAGTGATCAATTAAATATTACAAACTAGTATATGGATCTACATTTAATATTAGGTCATACTCATTCTAGACAGAGTTAATCATAAAACTATGAAACATTACCCATCATTCCTTAAGCTTAATTCATGAAAATTCCTAATCACTCCTATGTATTAAAGATTCAGTTACATGCAATCTTTTCAACTAATCTAATTTAATTTTAATTACGTTCAATCTTGCCAATTCTCCACATGAATTGATAATTAGAAAATCAAAGAATAAAATGTTGTGACTAGCATTTCACTAAAATCCTGCAAAATGAAATCATACATACATACATCATATCAAGAATACATTTGCAAATAGATCAACAAATGAAATAACATATTAAAATCGGGAAACTAAGATTGCGTACCTTTTGCCGTTTTCTTTATGTTTCCACAGACCTCAAGTATAGTCCATCTCCTAACTGAGACAACTATCTGGCCCCTTACTCTATAACGAAAACGTACTTGTTACGAATTCAAATGTAGAGTTTGTCTACCCGCTGAGACAAAACTCCCGCTTTACTGCCAAATCACGAGATAACGTCTTACACGCTCCCGGAGTCGACCACTCTTTTTTCAAAAAAGATTGAAGACTAAAGAATTTTCCTAAAGTAAAACCTTTAATTTCTTACAGAGTTCCGCCCATAAATCCATATTAATAAATCGGAATAGACTATATCCTAAATCTGTTCCGTAGAATTTTTGGATTGACAAGACAACTAAACAACTAATCATGCCGTAATTAACGTCCCTTTGAACAATCATCTATGGCCAGCTCCCGCCCTTTATCCGGTCGATTTTGGGAAAAGGGTCTTATGTCATTCTCTTGTACGATAGCATATGACTCGGTCAAGTGACGTCGGCTAGAACAAATTCCCTTTTGACGTTCAGAGATGAAATGAAAATAATCAACTATATCTAGCCCTTCTACTTTAATTAAGTTGACTTTGATACAATTCCTTTACCAATGCTTCTAAGAGTTTTCAAAATTCGACATCACATTTACCAAATTTTTTGTGGCAATCCATTAAACAATGAGAGATAAGATACTGACCTACAATGCTGCAAGTATAAACAGCCAATAACTCTTTAAAAAATTTAAAGTGCAGTGATTTTTCATTATATAGAGTTTCAGGCAATGACCATGATATTTGCCAAGTATCATGGCAGTTGATCATAAACTACATGACTAGCTGCAATAACAAGAAAATGCTAGACATAAGAAGAGATAGATGCAAGGATTACTACACAGAAACAAGGAGAATTTAAAAAATCAAACTAAGACATGGAATTGATTTATTCATTTCTTATAAGTACAAAACTATTAAATAAAATCTCAAATATAACAATTAAAATTTTTTATAACTTTACTCAGAACTGAGAGGATATGTTTTAAATATCCTAGTGCTGAAATCTGTGCTATTTTATCTTGCACTCTCTGCATTGTAATTGTCTTCTGTTTACATGTTTTTCAATTTTTTTATTTATTGTATTAAACAGGTAATATTCTACTGATTTTCTAACAACTGCTAAAAAGTACATATTTCAAATGAATACATGACAAATGAGGTACACAAGATCCCATTTTGTTGCTTCACACACTGTTATGATTTCACCTGGGTAACAAAATACTAAAAGACTGGTTTTTCATTTGGGTTTAAACAGAATGTATTCAGTTGTTACATAGACAGATTCCTGACTAGAAAACTCTGTATAGAACAATGTGGTATTTTCCAGGTTTCAGACTGTGAGGTTTGAGTAACTTTCTGTGAGATCATTTGTCTTCTGTGTTTAGTTATTGGAAATACACACAAGCAATTATTTAGGTTCACTTCTACAGATATGAGAAGGTTAAACAAGAGACATCAGTGGGGCTGTGATTGCTCACCTGACAATTGTCTAATAGCCATACACAAAAGCAATATCAATTGTTCAACAGATCTAGGTCATGTGGATGCTTTTTGCACAATATATATATATATATATATATATATATATATTAAGAAAAGATTTTTTTCAAGGCTAATCTTTATTTTGCATCTTAATTCTTACTTACCAACACACTGCATCATTTGTCCAGAACAAAAAAAAAACTTTATGTCAGGTTGACTTCTGTCAAAATTCAAACACTGATGAGAGATTTTTGAGATAAAGTAATTTAAAGGTTTTTATATTTTTTAGCACTTGTGGCCATATTTGATGGTGAACAAGCATACAATTGTATAAATGTGAATGCCCATCATGTCAGGATGCTTTTTGCCAAATTTGATCAAAATCTGCTGAGTGCATGGTTTTTGAGAAGGTAAAATTTTTCTGTTTCAGTAATGGTTGTGGATTTGAACAACTTTTAGAAATATAAGAGAAATTTATACTGCAATGTCATCAGTGAAATTCATTTGAATTCTCTTCAAGAGTTTTGAAGAAGGAAATGAAAATGCTGATGGATGCTGTAAGGACTCTACCATAAGCTAACCTGCCCTTATGGTCACATGAGCACAAAATATCTGTGTTGTTTACATAGAATATTTACCTAATCTAACATTAACTTACTCGATATTATTAATTAGTTGGGTTTTTTTAAACTATCATTTGTACTCAGATTTACATAATTTACTACAAGCGGGAGATGATGATGTGTGTGTTTGTGTGTGTGTGTGTGTGTGTGTGTGTGTGTGTGTGTGTGTGTGTGTGTGTGTGTGTGTGATTTGGATTTTAACATAGCTTCAACAATTTTTCAGTCATATAGCTATGATGTTTGCAGTGTCACAGTTTATAGTGATGTCTAACACTAGGACATGATGCTGTACACAAGTAGCATCATGTCCCATCCTGTCACATCATTCTATAACAGGCTAGTACAATTTTTATATGTCTTTGGTATGACTCAGCTGGGGCTCAAACCCATGACCTCCTGCATCCAAGGCAGATGCTCTGACCACTGAAGCCACCAGAGTGGTCCCCACCCAAACATGAGATAAATTAGTGTTGTTCACATTGATATATATCAACATACCAAGTAACATGACTAGAACTAATGAATGAAATATTTTCTCACTGAGGTTATTCTAGGGCATGGACAGAGTGATGTAATGACATGTTTGTGTGGATGGATATGCACACAGGTGCCTGCCAGGTGATCATTTTGTCAAATTTACACCAAGGCAAACTTGACAAATATTCTTAAAAGTTATCAGGAAAAATTTTAACAAATAAGTTTTCATCTGTTAGAATTTACATTCACGTCAGACTGAGATTTAAAAAATATTGTACATGCGACTGTATGTCATTATGTGAGAAATCTTCAGTATGTCTTTTGCTGTGATACTGTCTAGACTCAAAAACTGAATTCAGACTACCAAGTAACTGAACTCAGGCAAGCAATTTTCCAAACTCAAGTTACCCATTCCAATTATTAAAGAAAGTGAAGGATTGGTGAGTAACCTGACTACCACAGTCATCAGTCCTTTCTATATTGTGGTTTACAGTAAAAGATAGCATGATGATTCAGGATGAAACCTTGAACAAATAATTATATGTTGGTGTTTATTCATCTTAGCCCCACCATGATGAATAGTACTAGTACTGATAAGTAGAATATTGAATAGTACTAATATTGAACAGTACTAATATTGAATAGTATTAACATTGAATAGTACTATTTTTGAACAAAACTAATATTGAATAGTACTAATATCGAATAGAACTAATATTGAACAGTACTAATATTGAATAGTACTAATATTGAATAGTACTAATATTGAATAGTATTAATATTGAATTGTACTATTATTGAACAGTACTAATATTGAATAGTATTAATATTGAACAGTAATAATATTGAATAGTACTAATATTGAATAGTAATAATAGTGAATAGTACTAATATTGAATAGTACTAATATTGAACAGTACTAGTATTGAATAGTACTAATATTGAACAGTATTAATATTGAATAATACTAATATTGAATAGTACATATATTATTTGCTTATGCCACCTGTCCATTTTTGCTTTCATTGACATTCAGTGAAAATCACAATGAAAAGTAGCCTCTGGGTGAACCAAACATTGTATGCAGTCTGCAGGATATTAGAGTTACCTCTCTTCATAAAATCAAATGCTTAATATGGTAGTGCATCAGATGTACATAGAACATCATACAAAGTTTTGTGAATAATTTTAAATTCGAGAGAGGTACCAATTTTTATAATTTTTATGGGTAATTTTGACCATTAATTTAGGTCAGAATGAAATAGAAACCAAGGTGACATTCAGAGCCTGCATCCCAATTGTATTCCATTGTAAAGTATTATTCATTTGTTTGTCTTTATAGTACTGTAAATAAATAAATAAATAACAAATTTTTACCAGTCATCATCATCTGAAGTGCTGAACATCAATTAGACATTATTTTAATCCTTTAATGAATGAATAGTCATTGATTTATTTTATGAAGTTCATGTAAACATAACTATTGAAAATGAAACAAAGAATTAATAAACTTGACCCCACCCTTAAGCCACTTTCCCTGTGGTGATACCTACACCCAACAGATGAATGCACATGGTGGCTGTTAACCCGAACACAACAGGATGAACTTTCTTAAAAAAAATATCTGGAAGAGTTTTCTTGGCTCTACTATGATGGTAAACTGTACAGCATGTTCTCCACTTCATGCCAAAAGCATTAATCAAAGAACAATGCTATAACCCCAGAATTAGTGAATTTCAGACATTCAGTGAGAGTAATAAATGCCACAAGCATGGATGATATGCATGTTATGAAGGTTAATTAGACTGCAGACAGAACACATTCAGGCATTAAAGATAATGGATTTGTAGTCTACAGAACATTTCCATTGAACTCTGCATGTGTGGTTTCCATACATGACATGGCTTATGTAGATCAGATGTGTATTGCCAGTGGTAAGGTTTTGAGTGTGAGCAGGGATTTGTGAGCCAGAAATTGATTGATTATGCCAAAGCTAAGATGTCTATTACATGTTGACAAGCAGGATCCATTATTTGGATTTCCCTAAATGGACCTAAATGAATTTTACCTGAAGATACCGATGGATGTACAAAAAGGAAGACTACAGTGACAGTTCTTTAACAGTTCATTAACTAATGCCTTTATAACACTGATGAGCATTAATGGAAAAAAAAATGTCAATAGTAATTTTTATTTGGATGGTTCATCCATTAACCAACAGAAATTATATATTATTATATACCATAATGGAAATATTTCAAATCTAATGTGATATGAATACTTTCTTTGACAAACTAAGATTTCTTTTTGCAATGATGAATCATATTGGTCTACTTATATCATACAATTAGTTCTCTGATGGATAGCCTTTTAAATCAGTAGAGAATACTTATGGTCTACCGTCATTTAAATAAATGTTGGACTAACTTTATAAAAGTTGAAATAATTTAATTAAACTGATATTTATCTATTTAAAAAAAGTCATGGTCCAGCAAAAGCATAATAATAATGATATTTATCTATTTAAAAAAAGTCATGGTCCAGCAAAAGCATAATAATAATGATATTTATCTATTTAAAAAAAGTCATGGTCCAGCAAAAGCATAATAATAATGATATTTATCTATTTAAAAAAAGTCATGGTCCAGCAAAAGCATAATAAGTAAAGTCACATTTTGTATATGATGAGATGGATAATATATCATTCTCTAAATTTATTTTCTTTTCTAGAATAAAACCTATCTATACCCTCCACTCTTTTGTGACCATATATCAGGAATTATGAAATTCTAATCGCTTTTGCCAGACATTTTTCTCTAAATTTAATTTGACAGACATATATTTGTGAAATTTAATTATAAATTATTCAAAGAGATCTAAAAATTTTAAGTTATATCACAAAAAACCCAATGATGTACCAGAAAATGTACATTTCAGTTATAAATGCCAAATTACAGTTTGTACCCATGGTTACTTTACAAAGTGTACAAATACGTAATGAAAATTTGGTGCACTCCAATCAACTCTGAAAGTATCTGAGAAATGTCAAAACAGTACTATTCAAGAAAATTAAAATGTCAGTCACAGCCTGCACCACACATATTCCTGAATAATGTAAGTACAACAGCTGTTCATGAAAATATATGCAACAGGGATCACAAATGAGTAGTTTATGTTAATGTGACAGAAAATATTGCTCTGATTAAAATATTAATTAGTTATTTCATTAAAAAAAATTAAAATATTTTTTATTTCACATTGATCACAAGTACTATTCATTACTCCATTTAGCAAAAAGGAACACAAGAGCACATAATTATTGCTAATTACATTTTATACATATAATTAATTGTTGAATAAACAATCAGTGGATTAGTCCAGTTCTTTAAAAACACATTTGATCACATGGGTCCAACTTGATACTTTGTCAGGTGTTGGGACTTATCTGCTGTGTGTTAATTGGATTAAAGCTGGATGATTTTCAGATCAATCAAGCTATATATGATATAAATTCATTTAATTTATTACCTGAGATTAATAATGCTTATTAAAGTGTGATGTTTAATTCCACCTTAGAGAATTTATTGACAGGTAAATCTTAAGAGTTTTGTGCATATGGTTGGCATAATGGAATAATGACATTTCCATGAAGTGAGATCCAGTCTCTCCTTTTGACTGGTTTTGAAAACCTCAGAGAACACTAATGCCTTTGTTTCACACAAATTAGAGCAGTGTAATTAAGCTTATTTGATTTGAAAATATGTTCAAAAGGATGTTGGCATCTTCTTTGGTTCTAATCTCCATATTTATGCTAAGTGTTCAAAATGAGTAACTTACCAAATAAATCCATTTACTGTAGTATACTACCCGATTGCTCCAAAAGTGTGAAAATTAACAAGAAATCCATAACAATACCCACAAATATGCAATTTTTAAGCACACCATGAAATCTGATCCCTTTGAATTTAAAATTATTGACAATATTCTGAGTGAGAAATCATCATGGTGGTTTGGGACTCCTCTAGATGTACATATATTCTCTGCACAAATATTAAAATTACAATTCTTGCATTTTGAGTTTGCATGACTACAAGGCATATTCAAGTCTGCATATCACTAAAAAGACAAATGTCTGAAATGAAATATACATTACAATTTGGTTATATTTATAAGTTTAACTTTCCGATGCACATTACAAAATGCATGCAGTGAAGCTCTGCAAAACATGTTTGTTTTGACATGAATTTGGATACATTATTGTGGAATGGCTCTCAAAATTGTACACTAATTTCACCAATTTCTTTAACTGCTACAAAGTTTGAGTGTGAAAATATATAAGAATTTGATTTAACAATTGGGCAAGATATATGAATAATGATGTTAAAAGTTTGTGAATGTTAATTTCACTAGTGTCAATAGGCAATTACTACTCTTTGATCTTAGTTTTGTAAAATGTCAGCCAATGAAAAATTGCTGATAATTGTGAATGTATTTATCATAGAACTGTCAAGGCCATTACCATATGTACTCATAAGTTGAGTCAATTGCAAACAACAAAGATCCTGATCTGCCATAGCAATAATGGTCATATTGGATATTAGAGTGGTATTGATGTGAGATTGCATCATGTTCATTTAGGACCATTTCTAGACAGCATTAGGAGGATGTTCTAACAAGATTTTCAACAATTTTAATTTAGGACCAAATGGATCATAGGGCATGTGTGTGTGTGTGTGTGTGTGTGTGTGTGTGTGTGTGTGAGAGAGAGAGAGACAGACAGACAGAGAGACAGACAGATAGACAGAGACAGAGAGAGACAGAGACAGAGAGAGACAGAGAGACAGACAGACAGACAGAGACAGAGAGACAGACAGACAGACAGAGAGAAACAGAGGCAGAGAGAGAGACAGCGACAGAGAGAGAAAGAGAGACAGACAGACAGAGACAGAGAGAGACAGACAGACAG